ACACTCCTTGTTTCTTTGAATTGAGAAAGCTCCTTGGATGAGAAGTGAAACGTCTTCAGTTACAAATAAAGTCCAGTTGTTTTGTTTATAAACTTTTTTGGATATACAGAGAAACAAAAATATTTTTAGACCTAAATTATTTAGAAAAATATAGAACAAGGCTATTTTAATTGAACACGTTGCTCGCTTCAGCTTTTGTAGATGCTGCTACTTCCTTCACTGCAGATGACAGCAGGTGCGGAGACGTGCGCGGCCGGTGATCAGCTGATCCATCAGAGCTTAACTGGACATTTTTTTTACCTCTTTCAACCGGCCGGTCGGACCTGCCTCCTCCTCTACAAGTAGATTAACATAATTTTATATTGTGCATTCTTATTTAGTTTTCTTTGTACTGTATGATTTGTAAAACCGCATCAAAGCCTAAGATTGGTCCGGCCCGCACGTTAAGCACATTGTTATGGCCTGGGCCTGGCCCGAATTGTCCTTTTAATCCGGTCCGGGTTAAAAATGACAGCTTTACCTCCTACTCATTCTAGGACAGTTTCTTTCCATGTCCACATATGAGTCTAACCTGTATAAATAAAGGTTGTATGAATGATTCAACTCGATGCTCACAAAGGTTCAGTTGGTCGTGAAGACATTTTTGACCTAAATCAGCAGAGACTTGGACTTGATCTGGGACCAGATTTCCTGCTGAGACACGTCTTAAGGTTGAAGTCTAGCAGCTGACTCTGAACCAGAACAGGAATCAATAAAATGAAAAACAATATTTGAACACTGAATTCAACCTGAAGAACTTCTAGTCAAACTGAACACAGAGAGTTTGAGACTCTGATGCAGATTTGTGAAATGATTAGCGGACTCTTTGGTCAAACGGTTCTTACGTGTTTGTGCAGGAAGGCTCGGACTCGCGGCAGGTCAGGGTAGAACGTGTTCCTCACCACCATCTGCAGCCAGCGGATCTGGACTTCAGCATTCAAATCATCAAACAGGGACGAGTAGGAGCCAGAGAAACTCGCCATCAACTCTGAGAAACACAGTCTCCAATCAACACACCTGATCGACAAATACAAGTTGACTGTTGATCAAACTGCTGGTAGGACTGTTGGTCAGACTGTTGGTCAGACTGTTGGTCAGACTGTTGGTCAGACTGTTGGTCAGACTGATGGTCGGTGTTATGAGACGTACCGTTAGGTAGCGGAGAGTGGTCCAACATGCGGTCCAGGAACAGAACTACCTGGAAGGTGCTCCAGGTCGACAGGTCAAAGGGTGCGAGAGTCTGATGGTCAGGTGGGTTACTGCCCCTCCACAGGTCGCACAGATTCTGGACCGGCCCGATCAGGGTGCTCCCTGCTGACAGGTCTGGTTCAAATGGTGGTGGCCCACAGCCGCACAGCCAGCGTTCAAACTCTAGACCTGAGGACAGGAAGTGATGTCACTAATGCCACTATCGCACTGGGCTGCGATTACTGGAGACTCAAAATGGTGAAACACCAGTTGAGTTTATGTAGCGGTCTCACTGAATTCAGAGTGTTTGCTCCCCGGGAGCTGTCAGGTCGTCATTTTCACAGTCAAAATTTGAAAATCATCTCATCTTCAGCTCATAAACTTTGTTTTGTTGCCCACCTCCGCCCACGTCGTACCTGACCACTTTGTTCTCACCTGGACAGCCGCCCACATGTTTATCACTTAATCCAGTACATTTTAGACTTGGACTGGTTTTATATAGCATGGTTTTTAGACCTGGACACTTGGTGCTGTAGCCACGGATATTTTTAAGGAGGACAGCTCAAAATACAGCTCTAAAGCTTTGAAATTTACAAAAACTAAATTGCCCACGACGACTCTGGACCAATCCGAGAAAAAAATTGTTAAATCAACTTTTTCAAAGTGTTCACAATTCAAGAGCCAAGACTACGAACCTGAGACTCCCAGCAGATTGCTGCTTACCAACCAGTCTCCAATGGTCACAGTCCAGTCAGATTCTGGCTAAAGGGGGAGGAGCCTCAGGGATCACATGACGATGTTCTTCCCCCCAAGTCTCACCTTCTCTCTGAGTGACAGCAGCATCCTGCAGCTCCGGGAAGCATCGCAGGAAGTAATCAATGAGGTCCTGAGCGAGCACGCTCCTAAACTTAAACTCTGAGATGTAGTCCTGCACACACACAGTTTCATGATGAACCGCAGAATCAAAACATTCACACCAAATAAACGGAAAATAAAAAACATCGTGTCTCTCTAAAAGCCTGGGTGTGTGCGTGTCCTGACCCTGAGGAAGCCGTCGAATCGCCGGACGTCTCCGCTGAGCTCAGACAGGTACGACACAAAGCAGAAGCCTTTCTCGTAGGTGAACAGGTTCATGAGAGTGCTGGGGTTCACACCTGCAGGGAGGGGGAGGAGCATGAAGGAGACACCCCTGTACAGCTGCAAACCACACCTGTGTGTGTGTGTGTGTGTTTACCTGGTTCAAACTTGACCTGCAGTTTGCTCACAGGGTTGTTGTCTCCAAGGAGGCGCAGCTGTCTGTGCAGGGCGTCCAGGCGCACCACAGCCTCGAGGCAGGTGAAGGCCTCGCCTGAAGACAAGGGGCAGGGCACAGTTAGCGCACTAGATGACTGAAGGACTGCTGGAATATTCAGCTCACTGAGTACTCAGTAGTACTCTACGGTACTTGCAGCCTCTCTCATGGTATACCTCTGTAGTACTCAGTAGTACTC